CCCCAAAACCCCAAAACCCCAAAACCCCAAAACCCCTAAATGAGAAGTTTTCATTGAATAATATATAAATTAAATTTTGAACTTGACAAGATGCATCATACTACGAAACATTTATTGTACGATGGGAAGACAAGTCCAATAGCCTGGAATTGGTACAAGCTAGATGACAAGGACCCAAATACTCCATGTCCTCGCTCCTTGCTTTCATGAGTCTCCCTCGATAGTAAGCTCTACATCTTCGGAGGATATGATGGTATTGCAAGGAAATAATGATTTTTACTCTTTCGATACTGAAAAGCTGGTCTGGAAACAAATTAAAACATGTGATATTCCTCCAATTTCGAGAGATAGACATGTAGCTGTTGTTTACAACAGGTCTATCTATATTTTCGGTGGCTATGATGGCTTCAACAGAGTTAATGACTTTTATGAGTATAATGTAGACACTGAATCCTGGCAAGAAGTTATTTTCTGAGGGAAGGAAGGACCTCCTACTCCAAGACATTCTCATTCAGCTGTAGTATATGAAGATTGTATGTACGTCTTTGGAGGATATGATGGGAATTATAAGAATGACTTTTATAAATTTAACTTTACTAAGAACCAATGGACAAGAATCAAATCAACAGATCATGTTTGGCCTACCTCTCGATACAGGACCTCATGCACTGTAGTTGATGAGAAAATGTACATGTTTGGCGGCCATGATGGTCAACAACAATTAAATGACTTTTACTACTATAATTTTAAAAAGAAGAAGTGGAATCTGATCAATTATTCAAAGTCTTTTGAACCTTCGCCAAGGGACTCACATATTCTTGCTCACTGAGACGACTCTATCCTTTTATTTGGAGGTTCTTCAGGATGCGCCAAAAGTGATTTCTATCAGTTCAAAATCAACGAAGGTGAGTGGAAACCCATCAAGCACGATGACGGTGTCAAACCATCATGCCGCTTCTGTCATGTTGGTTCTGTTGTCAACGACAAACTATATATCTTCGGAGGTTATGACGGTAAAATTCGTCTCAACGATTTCTACTTCTTTGTCATCTCCAAAGAAAAAGATTTGACTTTCAACTCGATGCTCAAATTCGTAAACAATCCTCAGTACTCAGACGTGATCCTTGAGTTCCCTGAAGAAGAATCTTGTGAGAAGAAGTTTATCTACGCTCATCGCTTGCTTCTCTCGAAGTATCCCTATTTCGAGAAAATGATCGACGACCTCTGTGGATATGAAGACTCTACAGAAGAAAGCAAGAGCTTTCTAGAAGAGTTTCCTGACGAGTGGTCAGGGCTTTCTTCTCACGAAAATAGTATGCACTCTGTCAAGATTTCTACCATAAACTCTGAAGACAGTTTCCCTCCTGAGGAAGAGAAGGAGAGAGCCATTGAAGACATCGAGGAATCTAAAAGCGATATTGAGTTCACTGAAGAATTTTCCGTCAGGGAGCAAAGCTTTTGTGATAAAATTTTAAGCGAGCCTCCAAACGAAGAGGATTATCTTAGTGATGAAGATGACATTGAGCTCCCCTTGAAAATCAATATGAACGATATCTCATATGATACCTGCTTGGATATCGTCAGATATATCTATACTGATTACTGAGAGGTTTTACTTGAGAATGCCATGAAACTACTCAAAGCTGCTAGCACTTTCCAAATCAATCGTCTGAAAGACCTCTGCGAGAGAAAAATTAGTAGTAGTATTAATAGTGAAAACTCTGCGAATATCCTGATGCAAGCCCATTCTACTGATGCTACTACTCTGAAGGAGATGTCACAAGATTTTATCGTGAAAAACTTTGACACAGTCTCTAAATCAGACGGCTTCCTAAAAATGGTTACTGCTTATCCTGAACTGGCTGTTGAAGTCCTAAAGAAGAGATAAATCCAGCTAGAAGTAATAAGAGTTCAACTATACCGCTGAGAGCTTGAAAGGACTTGCATATCAACGAGGGGCCTTAGAAGCCCTCAGGATCTGTGAAAAAGTTGGAGTCTATTCTAGCATTTTAATTAAATTAATTTAGTTCCATAATTGTTAACCCAAGAGGGGTTTTGGGGTTTTGGGGTTTTGGGGTTTTGGGG